TGAAGTAGCCTGTCTAAGTAAAATGCAAAGCCTTTTAGTTTCACCAACTTCATTGAGTGCAGCATTGGAGTTAAAACACAATATACCAATTATTTATTAAACCCTCTGTGTTCGTAACTGCCAGTGTGCTAAAGCCTTACAAGTCCTTCCATAAAGTGTGGGGGTGTGTACTTCACCACCCAGATCAAATAGCTAGGTTCTATTGAAAGCATAAACGTCATCACCGAAGTTCTTTTCAGTCATAAAAAGAGAATATCCGCGGAAAGTGGGGGCTGCCTAGAGCTTAAGGGAAAGCCCCACTGAATAACCAATGAAAACTTTGTTTAGAGTAAATGTTGGGCAGGCTAATGTGACTGATATGTAGAAGTTTAGAGGTGTTTCCAAGAAAGCAAGGAGCAGCGAGTTATTTTCATCTTTTGCCAGATTATATATAACTACAATGTATGTGTGCATATATTTTAAGGTGGTAAAACTACTACCGCTTAGCGACTAAAAAGTTGGGTTCAGAAATGTGTCACAGACGACTGTTTCAAAAGCTGATTTGATGCTCTAAAATGAGGTGTTAGCTACTTCAGAAGCTGCGCCAAAATGGCTTTGGCCAATCACATTGCTGGGTTATATGGAGCATCTGATATTTGATGAAATAGGTTGCCATATAGGGTAATCATTGATACTTCAAGTTTGCATTTAGTGGGGTAAATGTGTTGCCAGTTGTAACAATATGTGCCAACATGAACATCTCAGTTGCGGCACTTTGGAACTTTGACAGCTGTCAAGCAATAAAACACAATGTGGGTACTGATAAATGAACTAGACTAGCTGCATTCATGAATGGTATTACAGCTGGTGAAGCTGTTTGGACAACTGTTGGAGGGCAGTTCAGGCTCATTTCATCCGCAAAAGTGCCAACCATTTATTCCTGCTGCCTGCTTCAAATATTTGTTACACTAGATTGCTATTTTTAAAAGAATGCAAAGTAGCTGTGCTTAGCACTTGGTTTTGTGATCAACAATGCGGGCACGGCAATTGGGTACCAGACTGCAGTTAAGGCTCTACAGTGACATTGGTGATGCTCATACTATAGGACTTAAGGATGCAGGGCAGGGATAAATCTTTTTAAAAATCTAAATTTGTAATTTTGCTTGCTTAAAACAATAAGGCCTTTCTTTGCAATATTGCATGCCCCTTTACATTTCTTCGCACCTGATTGAGCAAAAAAGACCAAGTTTTCGAGACCGGCTGACGAGCAGCCAAGCCCCTTCTTCTCAGGTGGTGCACAAGCTGAGCTTTCTGGCTCAGCTGAATTGGAAAAAAAAAAAAAAAAAGGAACTGGTAGTTTTCCTGAGCTTACCGCATTTGCACGATTGTAGGTTGACCCATTTTTTCGAATTTGACAATCCAATGTTGGGGGGTTGACCTAGAATCGAAAACGAGTTTCGGTTGTGAAGTCTTTCTAAATAATATAATCTCCGCGTGTTTTCACAAAGCTAGCCTTTCTGCACAGCTTTTAAGTACTGCCGTGAAGCCACCTTCACGCATCATTGGCTTCACAATGTGTCAAAAATAATTTTTGTTAAATAAAATGTGTTCGTGCTCCTTTCTGTCCTTTTTTTTATGCCATGCCATTTTCGGCGGTCGACTTTCATTCGAATCGACTTACAAATATGTAAATATGGTAGCTGGTTTTAGCAAAAGCATTCTAGCTACTTACAAAGAACATGATGCAGTTTTTTTTAACACATGTGGCATTTACCTATTTTATATGCCTTGTGTGTGTGAGACGAGCACGGAGACGTAGTTCTGTTCATTTATTTTTAGTTTAGAAGCAGCTTTGTCAATTTTGTTAGTATTAAAAATATTATCGGGTTGACGAATCAAAGAAATTGTATAGAAAGCGCCATATAATTTGAAATCGACGCGCTTCGTGTGATAACAAAAATGAGACAGGAAGCTCTTGTGCGAGCACTTCAGCGAGTAGGCTTTGTCCTCACTACAGGTTGCTGCAAGGAGAAAATGTTACCTGTAATGACATTGGCTATGCTTTGTTGCGGAGCATCTGCAAGAAATGATTACAAGTAACTGCATCTGCAAAGAGTGCAGTAGAACCGTGTACTCGTAGAGAACACAATGGATCATCTTTCTTGCACTGGAAATCCTTAGAACAGCCACCTTAAGCCCACTTTTAAAAAGACCTGCATGATTCAAGTAAACATTCCTAAGGCCATTTCTCATATCACAGAGGTGCAATAGTGTTGTATGATTGGGCAAGGTCGACCACCATCGACAGTATTGGGCCATTAGAAATACAGAAGATATGACAAAACAAGCCCGGAAACCAAGAAAACAAGTGAAGAGCTGATTTGTGGGATGGATACTAGGCAACTTTCTATTACTGAAATTTTTCAGTATACAGTAGTCTCGCATTAAATGGAACCTGAAGGGATGATGAAAATATGTTCCATATTACTGGAGTTCTGTTTAATGAAAGATGAATGCGGCTATAAACTATAACTAGGAAACCAATTGTGTTAGAGACAGTTGTTCTGTTTAAGAGATTCTCGTTTACTGAGAGTCTATTGCATTTTTTTTAGCTAAACTTAAAATGTTACTCTTCCTCTTTACCTCTCATTATCTCCGAGTCAATTTTTTCGTAACCTTTTCCCCATTATCAGCACAACTTGAAAGAAAAATGACACCATATTCATGGGGTGAATGATGAAGAGTTTGGGGCGAAGCTCATGAAGCAATCCTGGTTACAGCGTGAAATCTTCAGTGGTTTCGCTCAGCAGTAATCAAAGCATAGTGTGTGTGAAATTTTATTCAAACTTCAATGACCAGTTGTCTTTTCGCCTTCATGATTACTGCCTTGTAGTCGGTGAAATGGAATGATAGGGGTTCTTGCACGGGCAGGACTTTAAAGTTTCCAAAGACAACGTCTATGCACGTTCCCCAGACCGTGGTGGGGTTCGAGCGACGAACATGAGGTGCAGCAGCCTTCTGAACTCGGCGTCCCTCATTCTCTATGGTTCACCAAGCAGCACGATTCGGCAAGTTCACTTCTGCGGCGGCAGTATGGGAAATAAGAGCTCGCCACCCACACAGCCTGCGCAACAGCCAAACGGAGAGCAGCTGCACCGCCAACGCCATTTAGCGTACCTTCACCCAACCGCAAATTGTACGCATGTCTATGGGTCAGCGCCCTCTCGCAAACGAGACGAGAAATGGAGATGACATCACAGAATGTGTACAGTGCTATCTAGTATATCACCACCCAACTGCAGTTGGCATGCGTCTCTATTGGACACTACCTTGTGTTGTGTGATAAAAGAACACTACGGGGTATGCCAAATGAGTTGACGATCGACAATGGACCAGGTCTCACTATAAGGAGCTTTGCTCGTAAAACTGAAGACTGATTTTTCACCAGAATAAACCAAACATCATTACAAAGCTACTGAACTAGAATGGTGTACATATGTAGAATAGTTGTGATTATTTTGGTAGTCTTTTGTATAAAAATAATGGCTGAAATTACGTGCTTTGCTAAAAAAAATCACCAAAATATCAGCACTTTAAATATAATTATAATTCTTGTCTCATTGCTAGACCAGATGCCAACAATTCAAATGAAACAATTCCGAACGCTTTACCTCAGTAGTTTTAGAGAAACTATAGGTCTTAAAGAAGTCTTAAAATAGATGCGAGGTATAGGGCCTACCCCGCGCCCTTAAAGGGACCCTGAAATAGTTTTTTGAAGCTTTGTGTGTTGAGGCTGGAGTATCATGAAACCATTCGCACCACAAATTTAGTGACATGCTGCATATCAAGGCCGCTGCGGGCAATTATATCATACTCTCCTCCTCACTCCTGCTGTGCCTTCTCAACTCATGAGACACGTTGGCATTGCTGGCAATTGCAGAGCTCTCACTGGCACACTCATCAATTTGAGCTTCACCCAGTCATGACCGAGATTGCCACGCTGACAGGTTACGCACAGTCTCAAAGGCCATCATAGCCCAGTGTGCTGGGCAGCACGCAGGCCGCCTGGAAACAGAGAAAAAGATCGCAGAGTGATTGATATGTGCTCCTACAGGTGCTGCCACCCTACCAGCCGATCTTGTGCGCATTCCACACCCAATCAGATCAGCAGCCAGGTAAAGGAGTAAGCAGGCTAGCTTTTACATCAGGGGCCTCACACTTATAGCCCAACCGACCTTTCGCTACTGTTTTCATCCCACATTTTTTTTAATATTGTGATTGTGACATAGCAGAATGGTACTTGCATTTTTTTTCTCGCATATTTATTGGGATGATGAAGGCTTTGGTCAGGTAAGCTACACAGATGTGACTGGTCTTAAATTTACTTGAGGCATGGTGTCCACTCATCATGTGTTGAAACTTAAAACTTAACTGTGGGATAAAAACACTATACTTAGATAAAGCTTCTAGTGTTTAGTCATTCTGGTGATAGGTGATAGTTTATTTTTTAATCCTGATGCCGAACCCACTTCAAGAATGACCCGTATATTAGATAGTAACAAAGGCCTTCTCTCACATAGCATGTCTTTCAACCTGCCCCCCCCCCTCCCCCCCGCCCACATGCCAGCTTCGTCACTGTACCAGCCCTTTGTGGAACATAAATTTAGTAACTGCGGCCCGGTAACTGAGATGAGTTTGAATCCCATACCTTACATGGTGTCCTACGAGTGTATACCATTGACAGGATAAAGAATGATACTTGTTCAAATTGCAAACTATCATTGATGAAACAAAAATTAAAATGTCAAAAGCTTGTTGAGAGGCACTGCCTTAGATGACCCTTTACTAGTTTTGGGCTTTGCAAATAAGTGTTCTGTGTCTGCAAAGTAGATTAGCAGCTACGTGGTTCGAAAACAGTCAAAATTCTCAACGGAAGCCCTTTTTTTGGGTGCTGGGTACATGAGGCATGCTCATAGGTGAGATTTGCAGAGTGCAGTGAATCTTTTTTTTTATTTTTACAGGGATAAGTGGAAACAGCTTACCTAACAGTAGCAGTGGCGGTATGCACACAGCCATAGAACGGGAAAAAGGTGAGTAGAATATTGGATATTTTTGTTTTTTCAGTAGGCTGTTCAGGTACGAACTTAAATTTGAAATGTGCCTGTTGTGGTGGCTCAATAGTTTTGTCAGTGTGCTGTCGATGACCGTGTCGTGAGTTTCTTTCTAGAATTAGTTGAATCTGCACTGAATGATGAAAATGTGTTACACGAGATGGGTCAATTGAAACTGAATAGTACCAACTACCATACAGATATTCAAGTTTCAAACTCTATTTCTTCCCGCTGCATGAACTGCAGGTGCATGAGAAAATGGGGGTGCGGTTACTTATATTGTCCCTGCCCTCTTTCCTTAGAAAACACTTCATGAATCAGGATGAATTTTTTTTCAATGGCATGTCTTTTTTCTTAGAACTTGTATGAATATTCTTGGAAGTTTTGTGGCTGCTCTTAAGAGGATGATAATTTATTTTTTTCTTTTATGGCATTAGCTCCACGTTGCAGAACTTGATAGAACTTATTTGTTCTATTCTTTATATTCTTCACAGTTTTGAATAATTACTAAAGTTACTAGTGTCGTGAGCGAGAAAGACGCATCACCCGTTCGTTGGGCAAGCTGTTCTATTCTCTACTTCCTTCTCCTCTACCTTGAAATGGTGGGTCCATCTATATGCTGCGACTTGGCTGGTGGGTCTCCTATAGGTGGGTCTGGCAGGAGGGCCTGACTAAATCGCAGTGGTCTGCCTCAGCTACACTGCGACGTTGTATCACCCGCAAGACATGCTTCTGGCGGTCGGCTTTGGCTTTGTCGCTGAGGTAACGGGGATTGTGGCATACCCGGGCAAGAATGCTGGAACAGTATCTGGGGGGGCTCCATGGCTGGCATGTCCTCTTGGTGCTTCCTTTTGGTGACACACGCATGATTGTCAGCGCGGAGAAGACGGTCGAGACTGTCGTCGGGAGTCTTATCAACGGGCCGCTCCCTCTTTTCGATTTCATTGACCCCTGACGGCTCTGGAAGTGGTCTAAGTGGCCTAGGTGGCTCTTCTGATGCCATAGTTGTGAAGTCCAGCGCAGGTTTTATTCCGTCAGCAGACCGCGGCAATAGCGAGAGGGCAACCCTCCTGCACTTGTTTTGTGAATCCTCACTGAACTCCTGTGTGTTCGACCCATGGCACTGCATCTTGTCCACCCATTGATGGTCCGCCGTCAGGTACTGCGGTTCTGTTTCTGTCAGAGCGGCGGCTCTTCCCATCACAGAGAGGCATGTTTTAGCATCTGCTGGAATGGTGTTGCGGACCAACATGAAATTAGATTCGTCTGGCGTCTGGAGTGACTGCACACCGAGTACAAGTGTATCAGGCACATCCAGGTCACCAAGAAAAGACGAGCCCGGGCCACGCTGGAACAACACCTCTGGAGGGAATGTGGTCTTCGCACCCTATCGTGATGGTACTGTGCCGGACATTGGCACAGTGAAAGAGCGCTGCCTGAGTGCATTGTTGGCATGAGGGCAGGGTGAGGAGCCTGCTGTCGACATGTTGCACTGTGCTGTACTAGCCTCGAAGCGATGTCTGTCTAGAGCTGAATGCTCGTTCGCGGCGAGGTTGGAATGAACAGTAAAAGTGAGGTCGTAGCCAATGCGTCCGAAGGCTGCAATGAGCTTGGTGCTTCAGTATGCCCAGGACTGCTGCCGCTCGCCTTTATATTTGTGCCACGTCGCGGCACCACCTCGAAGACGGTCAATGGCAATGCACAATTTCAGTTGGTCCGTCCTTGTAACACCAAGTTCTTGTAACACCAAGTATTTTGACCCTTCATATAATGAAGCGGGGTCAACTGTGATCTCTACATAACACATCCGTGATTCGATATAGCACATCTGGCCGCTTCATCGGTGACTTCAATTAAATGAAGTTTTGCTGTGGCTGCAGAGCAAGACCAAAGTGATAAAACTGAAAGTTTTGCTGAAGCCAGGGCTCATAGGGTTGAGCTGTATGCAGGTTTTGCGAACACATTTTTCAATTCACATTCTATGTTGGAGAGTGTCTGCTCAAGCGGTGCAGCATGTTTTTCGACAGCAGCTTCGGGGCAAAAGACAGAAGTCCCTTCTCCTTGCCTATGGAGTGGTAGAGAGTGAGAGCATGCAGTTGATTTATGTGACTGATTCATGGCATGAGCTTACCTCGGCACACGCTCTATTTGGTCGTCTATACACACCGTTGCCACATAGTTCTGTACTCTGTGTTGCTTGATATGGCCTGTAATGGAATTTTCATTACAGCCACATGTCAAATGAGTTTAATTAGCCATAGAGGCAGCAGTGCTAAATGTGACAAGTGCTTACCTTCTTTGCGATAATTCAGAAAACAAATGTTGCCAATGTGGCTATATAACTGCAAGTGATCCTGATGGGTTATATAAAGGATGTAGCCACTTGTTTTGGGATGTACTGTATTTTACAGTGTAGCATGCGCTTTTTTTTCAATATTTTTCCTGGTGCATCTTATATAACAGTGCATCTTTATTCAGGCAGTTCAGGAAAATTCAGGCTATTCTGCAAGATCAATATGTCAATATTTCATTTGCGAGTATGATAAATTGAGCACAAGAGCACTTGCAAAAAGATATAAAATATTATTATAACAGTGGAGCTGGTTTGATCTTAGATGTCAGCTATTTGCTGTAGAAGTACTCTGGCAACACCGAAGATTACGGCTGCAGTAAGAGCCACCATCATGGCGCGAACTATTGTGTTGTTTGAATTGTTTGTTCCTAAACGAATTCCTAAATCCACTGAACTGAGGAATAAATAAAAAACAGGCACCACAACATTTCATTGTAGTGCCCACAATACCACTTACAGAAATGAAAGTACCTCTTCGCTATTGTCATCATAAGTTTCCGCATGAGGCATCGCTCCAGTCCTGCAGCAGTCGCAGCTTTTGATGGCCATTTCGTATGCATTTGCGTGTAGGTGCCAAACGTGTAGTGCGATCATAGTTCAACTTCCTACCAAGCCCCACAATGCTGTTGAGTCAATGGTAACGACATGGTCCTAGGCTCTTTCAGTGCTGTGTAAAAGAGTTACTAGTAGACCGACAAGGGCAACCCCGCAATGCTGCCAATGCAGGTTGAAGAACTTTGACAGCGCACTGAAGACATCAAATCCAGTGGGCTAATAGAAATTGGTGGCTGATAGAAATTGGTGGCTCATAGAAATTCGACCCTGTGCGTGACTACGCATTTCATAATCAACACACTCTGCATGCATCGTTGTATTTTATCAGGTTGACAGTGTCAAAACTAGGTCCATCTTATACACCCTGGAAATTCGTAAAAAGGAGGTGCATATTATACAAAGGTGCATCTTATAGATTGAAAAATACGGTGTACAGCTCACTCTCTATGATTCTGAAGTAGAAAAGAAGGTATTCTGCACTCTGTGAGAAAGAGATGATAAATTCCCAATTAAAGCGATTGGAACAGGTGCCTTTATCTTCAATGAAAGTTTTTTAATGAAAGTTTTTTTTTGGTCAGACTACAAGTTTTGGGTGTAACAAGTTTTATGGAGCCAACCATTTTTTTCTCTTTTTGTGAGCTTCTTTCACCTACCAGCCACACCACTGCAAACTGTGCTTAGTTATGTGGATGTGCCGTGATAAAGTTGGCCTCAAAGACTGTTGTTTAACCAATGCACAACGACAACCTAAATTCACGAAGCCGTACTGCGTTTTGCTTTATTCTATGGACCCATGCACACAAGATGTCGAAAAATAGACAGTGTTAGCACCATAAGCACAGGTGCCATACCGTATTTACTCGATTCTACCGCGCCCTCGATTGTAACGCGCACTCGGTTTTCACGACAAAAAAAAAAAAAGTAAGACATCGATTGCAACGCGCACCCATTTTTCTCGTTGCCCGCACGATCACACTGCTCGGGAAAACGACTCTTTTCGGGAGCGTCTTCTGTTTAAATATGAGGTACGGGGGAAGCTTGTGCCTATCTGATGTGCAACGGAGCATTGCCGTCACTCTTGTTTTACCGTGGCTTGATGTCAGCATGCGAACTTGCTTCGCCCGCTTCTCGACGGTTGTGGTGCCAGGCATGTCGAAGTAAAGAGGCGTCTGGTCAGCATTCCCGATTTGCCCAAGCAGGTAGCTGTTGTTGTGCCGCAAGTTTAGGACGAACCTCTGAAAACTGTGAAGCTTTTCTTCGTACTCCTCTGGCAAGTTTTGGCGCAGGCCCGTTCGCTTTCGGAGGGAAAAGCCTTTCCTCTTCATAAAGTTAGTTAGCCAGCACCTGCTCGCTTTGAACTGGCTCCGCGTTAGCCCTTTTTCTAAAGCTAACTGCATAGCCCGCACTTAGAACAGTTCTTTCGTCACGGGCCGCTGTTCCGCTCGCTGCTCAAGCACATACTCGGCGAGCAGCTCTTCAATTTGCGGAAACCGACCCTGCTGTGGTCCACTGAAGCCTTTGCATGAATCTTTGACAATCTTCTGCTTTTGTTTCCGCCAGTCCCACACGCACGTTTCGGGAACTCCGAACGACCGCGATGCGGCCCGATTTCCGTCTGTTTCGGCACATGCGATGACTTTTCTTTTAAAAGCGGCATCGTGGTGCACTCATCGAGTTTCTAGAGTCGGCCCCTCCATGCAGTCGACGCTAATGAACTACAAGATGACGAACTCCTCAGCACACGTACGAAGTGCCGCACATGGGAAACACATAGGCAGAAATGGCCGACGTGCTATGCCGAAGAACGTAGGGGGCGGCCATTTTGAAAATGCCGATGGCAATAGAATGACCGTATTCATTTTTTTTTTCACACTCGATTTTAACGCGCATGTGATTTATGAACTCGCTTAACCGGAAAAAAGGTGCGCGTTAGATTAAAGTAATTACGGTAATTCACGTTGTCGCCTTGCTTTCATGTAGTTTCAGACCGCAGCTCTCTTAGTTGTAGAGTGTGCAATGGTTTTTGACATTGTGCGTCCATTGAAGTGAGTGGAAAGCAAATGGTGTGGTTCGGTTTACGTGATAGCACCAGCAGAGCCTGAACCTGATAGCATTGGTAGCACCACTCCTGACAATGCCTAAGGTTTTCGTGACAAGTGGTAAACACAGAACAGATGCAGGAGCTTTGCTTATCCCGTATTACCACAGTGCGTTGGACCTACATTTATTTTTGGTTCTTGCGTGATGTCTGACCGTCTTGAACAGACCTTTGCCAGCATAGCAACGATGCATTCTCTGGATCTCTGGTTCAAAAAAATTGATGTTTCACATTATTGTTTTTTTTTTTGTAGTTGTGTTATTTATTCTTTTGGCACTTCTCTTGTAAGAAAAGGAGCCTTTAGTGACTACACTGTGCATGAAAGGTCAAATTTTATTTTAACTATGTTTAGATATAATAAAGGAGATAGCTGATTTAACTGGCTTTATTGTATCGAATTTTAAATGTGTTTATCAAATCCTGTTGTAACTATATAGAAGGTACCACTACCTTCATGGTAAATTATGGGATCTTGCCGTCATAAACAATGGATGCTGCACTGCTTGCCTTTTGAAATTTGTCTGGAGTGCAGGCATAAGATGAGTGAACCACTGTGAGCGTAACATTTTTGTGATTTTAAAGCTATATGGGCGAAATTTTAGGGTATCTGAAAGCTTAGGAAGCTATATGCATATTTTTGTGAGTATTGTAAAAGTGGAGGGTTAGTGCTGGCCTTATCGTCTGAAAATAGTTTGCAGTGAATGCCCTCTTGGGATTCTGATGAAAAGCACAGTCTGTTAGGTCGTAGGCATGGTGTGTTTGATTCGCCTGATCCTGTCTTCTGACATTATTGTAAGTGAGAATATGCTGTCTCCAGCATCTGTCCACAGTGGCAGCACCACTGGGGGTGGCAGTGGCAGCAACCTTGGCAACCCTTCCCCATCTGGTGAGAACATGGGAAACTCTGCTGGAACTGTTGGAACTAACAGCAATTCTCCCGAGAACTCTGCTGGTGCATCTAAAGACGAGGAAGAGCGCAGTGGACCTCCACAGCCTTCAGCTAATAAGACTGGCAAGGAACTCGTCTTGGCAGCTCCCCGTGAAAGCAAACGGCCCAACATGAAAAAGAGGATGGACTTGTCTTTGGCAGACAAGGTTAAGATAGTCTACTCTCTCAAGGAGCCTGGAGCAAAACATGGTGCCGTAGCGAAGCTCTACGGTGTTGCACGGTCTACTGTTTGCAAAATAAGCCAGGTGGGGTATACATTTTGTAATTGAAATTCTACATTCTTTTTATTAGGAATACTTGGGGCATCTTTCAAACTTGCCAGAAACTTTCCCCATTTGCCAGAAACATTGCTCATTCCAGTTATGCCTTCTCTTTCTTTTTAATATACGTGAATAAGTAGGTTATGCTACAGTGAAACCTCGTCACAAAAGACACTCGTTCGTGAAAGGCTTTAAAAAGGGTTCATTTGAGAGCACATTAAAAAAGGTTCGTTTGGTTTTGCCATGTTTGCCATGTTAGCAGCATTGTGTTCGAGAAATGCTTGGTTACTCTGAGCAACTTTTTGGGTCCCTTGAGCAAATTATTCCTTATTTAGAAAAGATAACCAAGACACACTCATGCATCTTACGACCACTTGTAGATTCCGTCTGAAAGAAAGAACCATCTTTAATCGAATCAAACGTTGTCCAAATATTCATGAGTGCAAAATATAAACTTGAGTTTCTTTAGGTTTATTAGAAAAGTAGAGAGACAGGCTGTCTTCTTAGAATGGAAATTTTGTTCTCCTGGAAGTTCATGAGCTTCTACATACGCCACGCCTCGATTTTGTGCCTACGTATCTGTGGTCGTTACCATGTCAAGCTCTACAGAGTAGCTTTAGTCGGTCGAAAAGCTAATATTTTCACATCTTTCGTCTTTGGAAACTTTTTCTTGTAAAAACAGCTGATCACTTGCCTTTGTCATACTCGCAGTCATAGGCTTGTGCACGATATGGGCTCGACGCAGCTGTTTTCACCATGAAAAATTACTTTTTCTTGACGTCTGCATTCATAATAACATGACTAGTTGCACTTTACAAGCCAACAAATTACAGCGCACACAGTTCAGTTGTGCACGAAGGCATTCTATGCAAACTCGTGGTTCGTCGCCATTATGTGATAGCGATGACACTATGTTTGACTCTTTGAGGGCAGGCAGTTGGCAATGCGCAGAAAATATTTGGACTCTGTTTATTGGTAGAAAGATGCATGTTGGATTCGATTCTTTTAAGGTTGTGAATTAAGATTTGCTCCCACCTTCTCTATCTAAGTAATGCTGTCATTAGCTGCCACTGGCAAGAATACGGTAATTTAAGCTACTTTCCTTGCAGGAGGCATAAGGTTGTGCCAATGACATATTCATGCCGTCTGTACCCAATTTTCGGCCAAGGCTGAGTGTCACTGCCTATAATCTTAGGTTCTCGATTATATGATGCCTGGATTATATGACGGTTTTGCGTGGTCCACTGTAAGTCATATTATTGGGATTCCACTGTACACTCAGGAGCAACACATGTGAGCACCATTGGTCAGTCCTGCTTGTTCAGACTGCTCATGGAACCTTGAAATGTCCTTAGTGAAACTCCTTTTTGAGAACGCCTGTAATGACTCAGCAAAACCTAGACTCATTTTTCCTGTATATGTTCATTCAGAAAAGAGTTCTGATGAGGCTGTAGTGCTACCCATGCTAACACGCTTTGGGAAATCATTTCTCCAAAACATATTACTTATATTCATTGCTTACATCAAATGACAGTGAGAAAATTTTAAAGCAGATGTATTTTGTGCACTCTACCGTTTCTGTTTTTAGCCCTTTGTATAGCCATATTATGATTACCCATGAAAACTTGTTTCATTAAATATTTATACAGCAATACTTCGTTAAGAGTAAAAACTGAAAAAGTTAGAAATTACAGTTAAAAGTCTAACTCTATCTATGAACTTCACCACTATTGATTAGCTTTTTAACTGGACATTGTAAGCTGGTTTTTCGTAAAGGTCATGAAGCAAAAAAAAAAAAAAAGGTATGCCAGAGTTATCAATGAGCTGCACTTTGCCCCACTGCATTTTTATTTAGTGCAGAAAGACTGAGTAAGGCTGGTCTTTTTAGCAGCAACAATTGGAGCTAGGATGCCATCCTCGAGTTGCTTCTTGCACCACATGTGCAATTCATTTTTGCCACAGCGCTCAACTTTATTTCACAACAAACGAAGCATGTTTTTTGTTGTGGCTAATGTTGGCAACTTTTGAGTAGCTGCATCGACCCTGCCACTTTTACCATGTAGGCTTTGACACCACATTCTTTCACTTAATCAAATGGCCAAACAAGCCATTGTTGCAGGTGAAGTCGGTGTAGTGGCACAGTGTGTTTGGATTGTAACTTTCTAAATGTGGGTAGTAGATTTACAACAGTGCTGTGGTGCATGCACTGCCCCAATTTTTTTGTTGTGATAGGGTTATGACCAGTAAGTTGTACCGCCACTTTCATCAGTAGCTGCTGTCTTGCCTTTGTGCAGTCTCAATGCTAGTCTGTAAAGGCGCTGAAATCGCTTCACTGGCGCTGAAGTCGCATTAATTAGTTAGGCAGTATTTGCACTTTCTCAAAAGCTGGAAGATATTTAGGAGCGCTTGCCACACCACGAACAGAGAGGGCAGTTAACATTTTTACTACAAAACGTGACTGTGGTGCACACTATTATGTGTAGCATGGTCTATACTTGCAGCTAATATGTTGGGCTTTTTTTAATAATACTATAATATCTGGGGTTTAGAATGCGTAAACCACGATATGATTATGAGGCACGCCATAGTGGAGGGCTTCAGAAATTTTGACTATCTGGTGTTCCTGAATGTACTCTGACATCACACAGTATACAAGCTTCTAGCATTTTGCCTTCATCAAAAAACTGCCGTGATTGGGATTGCACCCGCAACATTCGGGTCAGTAGCCGAGCACAGTAACCACTAGACCACCGCAGTGGACATATTAGGCTCTTTTGAGAATACGTTCAAACATAGCAAGCTTGAAACACGTACAGTTGTCTCCAAAAGTTTACAGACCATGTGAGCAAGTGGGGAACTGCCTGATCATGACATTTCTGCCATCTCTACTGCACCGTACCCTGGAGTCATGGCCTATATTTTCACCGAAGATAAATATTTTACCTTCCCCTTTATGTAACATACTCTGTGGCTGCCATGGCTCCAGGCACAAATATTTCCACCTTCTCCCTTATGCACTGTGCTCTGTGGCAGCCATAGCTGTGTGCTTCTGATTCGAGAGCAGTATGAGTATAATTGTTATCAGTCTCTACCCTCTGCACAAGTTGATATCACCACGCACCAATCCATCAGGCATGCTATAATTGCTGTGATAGGGCTATCAAAACAGAAGTGTGACAGCCTCAATGCACATGAGTGCTGTATAACAAAGCAATGAACTAACAATGCATTGCCAGGCAGCAGAAAATCGATATGCTAGTGAATTACAAGTTGACCCACTTTTTGCCTAGCGCTGTGGTTTCCATTAGGTTGCATGGACAGGTAGTTTATGATCGCCTCGCACGGTTTGTATACTTATGTAGTTGGCTGCACAAAATAACTAGGTCATAGTGTATGCATATGAAGGCTGTGTAGCACTGAAATGACCAGTTACGTGCTTGAATATTCGAAAACATTTAAATAGGCATTCTTCAAGATGAATACACTTCGAGTAAGGAAAAGACAGTAGACTCATTAAGGGGGGACATGGTTCTTAGGGCTCTCTCATTTATTTTTGAACCAAGTGTGACAAAAGTTGGCATGCTTACTTAGTTTTCTCTGGATTCTAAAAATGTAGTTATTTTTTCTGTAGCTTCATTTGTTAGTTAATTAAATACTCAAGATAACAATTTCTATTGCTCTTACCTTAATAGAAAAATAACCACCTGTCAAAAATTTATAAATAACATAGAGATTGACAGTAGAAAGCATAAGACATGCAACATAAGAAGCACTTTTTTAAGTGGGTCATTATTTCTTACTTTACACTACACTCAACTTCACAGCCCAGAATGTGGCCATCGTGTGGTCACACAGAAGACTAGTTTGAAAAACTTGCATCAAGAGAAATCAAAATCTGCTTCCTATGTTGTGTGCTCCAAACATATAGCTTCATGCTGCAAAATAAAATATTATGCTATCTGTAATAGTTTCAGATATATTGCAGTAATTTTAATACAGGGTGTACAAAATTGCCATTTTGAGAAAATGAAGAAAACAAAGAATTCTAATATTTTTAACTGTAAAAATGTATGCACTTATAATTACATAGCCATTGACATATAAATGAATGCTAGAAAGCCTAAGGAGTGCAATGCTGCAAGCTGATCGAAAATTGAACAAGTACTTCTTGAATTACAGTACAGTAAAGTTCATTGCATGTAACCAAATACAGAAATTTTTATATTAAAATAAAAAAAAATGAAGCTGCCCATTAAAAATAGGCTCCCAACATTTTTTTTGTGCATATTTAGCTACATTGTCCAAAAACAATTTTAGCTCTAACTGTCCTAGGTCCACTTTTACCGAACAAGCAAAAGAAAGTGGTCAAAATCTGTGCTTCGAGAATAATGCTGTTAAAACTTAATTTCGCCGTTCCGAGGGAAAAACATCATGGCACACATACTTTTAGTCAGTTAATATGCACCAGGAATGTAATAGGACTGATTGTTTGTACGAGCGTGTCGTTTATTCTAGTCCTGCAGCAAGTAGTCGCTGTGTGTTCGTCTGCCGCGAGGCTGCTTATCAGTTCGGTGACTGTACTGACGGCGATGTGCGACAAATGTAAGTGCGTCATCCACGATCCGTCGAATAACTTGGCGATGTTTTCCAGCTTGTCCAGAATAAGTTACCTGTAAGTGTCACGAATCAAAGTTGCTCCCTCGCTCATCAATTTCGAGGCTACACGAGTGCCGAGGTGTTAGTTTCCTTTTCACGTAAGACTGCTGCATTTTCGAGCTGAGATCGCGAAAACGTTGCGAACACGTCGTTAAAAGCAGTCTACCTATTGTCAGTAGCCTCCATTGCGAGGGCCGCGAGCATGTTCACTGCGAACGGATTGACTTTCTGTTGTTGGTCGACGCGCGGCGTACTCCACTCTGACGACCCGTTGCGCAGTTCAAGGTCCTTTCATCAGGCGGGGGGAACCACAACATCGGCGGGTTTAG